TGCTGGGATTACAGCCATAAGCCATGTGCCTGGGCTGTTTGTTTTTGATGCAAGTTGCTATCTCTAGTGCCTGCAGGCATAGGATGCTGATAGACAGAGAAGTGGTGGAGGGCTATTCTAGTCTGTGGAAGCAGTGTTAAAATTTAACAAACAGTAGTACATTGGATTGGGACTGTGAGTTGGGGAATCACCCTGAAGTACCTGGAACCAAGTTCCTAGAAGGAAGGGGTTCTCGAGGTAGCATTGGGTCAATCCATGAAGGAAATTGAATGTAATCTTAAGGGATAAACAGGGATAGCAAATTTTCACATGCCTTTAGTTTTATCTATCATTTTCCTTAGTGTCCCTATCCCACCTTTATTTTCTCTGTCCTTTGGAAAAGTTCCTGGGCAGGGTTTATTTTTGTGGTTGGATTATATGATAATGTATATCTTTAAGCAAATTATTCACAATACTATTTTCTGCTACTGGGAGTGCCAAAATCTAATTAGATCTGCCACATTTTTTTCTGCCAAAAAAATGTATATCACAAAAGTTGTTTTTACCCTATAAAAATGTGTGATTTTTCCATAGCTAATAGAAGAGAACCTACGTTTAGGAACCTACACTGATAACCAATTAGTACTGAGATTTATGTGTATATAAACATAGTTTGTGTGATATATATACATTAATGTATTTGCTACAGAAAAACATATGTCATAGTGTACACTTTTCCATTTAAATCATGATTTAAAATATATACACCATTTGATGGGTTATCCTGATTCTTCTTTTACCAGTCTGCACATTGCATGAAAATCATTTATGACAGTGATTGATTTAATTGAACCCGGTTCTGAGAGAACGAGTGTTTTAATTAAAAATGTTGGGTATTTTCCCCCTGAATCTGAAGGCATTTGGGCTGATTTGCATTTCTTTCAGTTCTGAGTGTTAAGGGTAATATATTATGAAACATCTTTTTTTTAATTGATATGTATGCACATTAGTTTTCATTATTTCTATTTTAATTAACATCAGAGATCATAATGTTTTGCAAGGATTATCTTCAAAACATTTTTAGTAAAATTATCAGGCACACTAAATAGAAAATAAAAGGCAAAACTGGAGGAAAAGGGGAATTAAGACAGGCAAAGAAGAGAGACTAAGTTTTTATATTTTCTAAAGCAGAGTAGATATTCCGAACCGAAATGTTTTAGAAGATAATAAAGAACTCTAATAATTTTATGAGCTAAAAAGTGTTTTGAATTTTTGTATGCCTAGCTAAAATATAAGTATAGGACTCAGATATTTATTTTTCACTTATTCATTGGGAACCTGTATTGTAAGAGTTTTGGGCACATCAGTATTTAAAACAAAAATACTTGTTCTTGTAGGACTTATATTTAACATTTTCTAGAAAAATATCATGCAAGCCTTCTTATTCCATCAGTTTATTGAAAGAGCATGTACAGTAACACATTTGTCTCACACATGTAATATTTTCACACTTTTATATCTGAAGGTATTATGTGCATTTAGGATGAGGTTTCATTTTAATTATGGTAGCAATATTTCAGGCTGCCTTTACATTTTCATACTCCTTTGCCTGATTTCATGTTAGATTTCAGTAGTTCATCATTTGTTTTTATTACTAGTTTTTGTACTTGTTTTTAACCACATAATCCATGTAAGAGAAAAATCTCATCTTTGTTACTGGTTTGGTGTTTATTTTTGCTTATTTTATTAGTATCATCTCTAATCCATATTACCTCTATGGGATTTTCCCCTGTAAACGATTCTAACTTCAGTTAAACTAGATAATATAACTTATAAATCTACTTAAACAGGAACACATAAATTGCTACACGTTCACCTATGATACCATAAAATTGTCTGAAGGAAGAATTTGACCTCATCTGAGATTTCAGGGAAGTACTCTTGAGGAAGTAGAAGTGTTGATAGAGGGAGAGTGGGGAGGAGGAAAAGGAGGTAACTACAAAGGTGTGTGAGTGTGGGTACATGCCCATTCAGATGTGCAAAGGGACATTTTAATGTAGGTGGCCATATCTGAGACAGATAATGTTAAGAGAACAGGATAGATGTGGGAAATCATGGAATGTTTGTAGGTAACCCAAGTGACCCAGTTGAAGCTACTTGCAGGGAATGGGTAGGGGCTATAGTGAGCAGAGCCCTCAGATAAGGCAGGGTCTTACTGTGGCAAGGTGTGTACATAATTCAGTGGGTAGTGAAGAGTCACTGCGTGTTTCCAGATCTGATGGATTTGAACAGACAAACTACAGGTGCGAAGACCACGGAAGAGAGGTAATGAGGGGCTGGCAGTGAAAATAGAAAAAAAAAAAAAGAGTGAAAGATATGTGAAGATGCATCAAAAGGAATTGAGCAACTCATGTGTTTTAAACTTATGGTACTGACTAGCAATTTTGGCAAGGTTTTAATGGGACAGAGATTTATTGGAAATGTGGCCAATAGAAAAGTGGGATGGATCCTAAAAGAGATTTTTAAAGATTTTTGATCCTTTCTAACCTTTGTATTCCTGCTTTGTAATCACAAATTTAGCTCTGGGTAGCAGGATTTGGGTTTAGACACAGTTGTGGTTGATCTTCAAAATACAAGTTGGTTTTGGTTTTTGAAACAGATTGATTTGCATTTTATGTTTAGTGTTAAAAGACATTTTAGTTCAATTGTTCCGCTCATAGAGGCTGCATCAGGTAGCAGTTAAGTGGGCAGGGCCCAGAGCCAAGTGCTCAGACTCCAGCTGTTGACTTATTAGTTATGTGCCCTTTGTCGTATTATTAATACTTAATTGCTCTGTGTCTTGATTTCTTCATCATCCAAGTGGGCTGCTATTAAGTAAGGTCATGGTGAGGATCCAATGAGTTAATAATAGCCTATGCTTCTAACAGTGCCTGGCACCTGAGAAGAACAAAATCAATGGCGTTATGGTTTCTAAAAAGTGAAAACATCTAACAATATGTAACCAGATAAATCAAAATCAATTTGTTTGTATTTTCTTGAAGTTAAAGGAGAGCTCAAAGACATAATTTTACATTTAATTTGTGCTCCCTCATCCAAAGTGAGGCATAATCCCAAAGGACTCTGTTTGTGTAAGTGTGAGGGCGTGAGTGTGTGGGTGCGTAGGTGCCTTCTCACTGCCTTGCCTGATCTAGTTAATTCAACTCCAGAAGACATAGTAGCTCAAACAGGAGATTGCTTAGAATTAAGTGATGTCAGAATATAAAAGTTTTTCAGAAAATTGTGAATCACTAATAATCTCAGTATTTTTTCTTGACAATTAAGAGAATAATACAAAATTATTCTTTTTTTTACATTTTTTTACTCTTTTTGCTTTGTTCTCTTCTTTTCCATGCCACTTATTTTCAGTGAAGAGCATAAATAAAATACAGCAAACTAAGAAAGAAGTCTTTAGTACTTAGCCCAGTCAAGTATGCTGAGTAATGGGCAGACTAAGGCACAGTAGTATTGTTATCAACTAGTGCATCTCTTAGGATTTCATGATTCTGGAAGTTACATGCTACAGAATGAGGAACATATTTAACACAATCCAATAATCACCTAGATATTTATTTTTAAAATCCTAGTCTTTTAAAAGCTTTCATACTCTGATATGGCTAGTCACACCGATGTGACGCTGTGCTGTTCATGCACTATTTTCCAATATTATATCATCTATGAAGCAAATCTGTGTACAGTGGAGTCATGTCTCAAATGATCAGTTATAAAAAGGTGCATAGAAATAGATATTGAAATTCGTTGTAATATCTTCAGGACTAATAAAGAGCTTAAGAATACGCTGGGTTTGAACTGCATATTTTTTTTGGCATTTTTTTTGTCTTTACCTATTTGCAAGACCACAATTTTTTCTATAGATTACAAGGTGCTAGGTTTTATTACTCAGTCACATCCCGCTGTTTTGACAGCCATTGCATTAGCATGGACCATTCAGCTGTTGCTGAGAAATGCCAGTTGCCATGGTGAAGATTATGATGTCCCACATCCAATCTGTCCCTGAGATGGGGATGGCCTTTGCAAAACCACATGCAAATATTTGTTTTCAAAGGTACAACTGGCTCTTTGTGAAGCTCTGGATTACTAGAGTGGTTGTCTTTTCAATGAATCATCAAATGAGGATCTATTACTGCATGATTTTTCTTTTTTTTTTTTAAATAAACTTCCACTGCCCTTTATCTCAGCGCCTGTTGACAGAGAATCAGATTTCATATTGTATAATTTGACTGTCCTTTTTATTTATACAAGTTAATGAGTTTATCTGTTTAATTTGTCTAATTTCTCTATTTGATTGCCTCAGAGCTGACCTCACATGCATGGGTTTGTTGGGTTTCTCCCTGAACTCACAAGTAGAGTTTTCCATTTTCCTGTCGATCATATCCAAGCACCACAGATACTTCCATGGAAGTAAGAATGACGCTTTGAATATCAAGGGATGTTCTCCAAATTGGGGCTTTTCCTAAGAATATGTATCAAATATTAGTATGCATGTTTTTAAAATATAGATTTGTTTTGTTTTGTTTTTAATTTGGGGATTACTTGTCAATTTAAGCAAAAGGAGAACTCCACTAAAAAAGCCTTTAATAAAATTTCTGAGAGTCACCAGCTTGCAAAACTTGTGCACTACCATCATGAATGGTAATATTGCTTATATTAATTAGTTTATAGTTTATAATTTAAACTAATAATTAAAATGACAGTTTAATTAGTTTAATAGTTTTAACAAATAATTTAAATATACCACTTTTATAAAACAGCCTGTTTCGGTGGCTTACTACTGCATTTCCTTTACCTTCTATAAATAGTATACTGCAGGTTTGATAAAACACAGAAGCATCTGGGAGACGAAATAAAATGCGCTACTTGTATAAAATGTCCTCTTCTGAAAAAGAAAGAAAAAGAAACAGAAAAGAAAAAGGAAACTATGGTGACACATTGTGAGGCTTATGATAACTATGTTTGCCTTTCAGATCCCCAGCTCAAGGGTATAGTGACCAGGTTATATTGCAGGCAAGGCTACTACTTGCAAATGCACCCCGATGGAGCTCTCGATGGAACCAAGGATGACAGCACTAATTCTAGTAAGTGACAACCACAGGCTGCCAGTTACACTCTTGATAGAAGATAAACTGCTACTGAAATGACTTTTTAAGATTCATTTGCAAATGTTTGGTCATGTTGGTTCATCTTTACGAATGTTACACACTAGAATGCCATTTACAATTTTATTTAAACTACGTGGATGAAAATATTCATGAAACAACCAAAGAAACCTGTGATTTAAAGACAATTATGTTACTATTTTTGTTTTTCATTCAAACAATTGTCATACCCAGAAAATTACTCTTACTTTTAATCTTATAAAAGTTAAGTAACTACACTAGTGTATTTAAGTAAAAATTGATTACATGTTTTCTTTCAATGTATTATTTTATTGGGCCCTGAAGTTCTTAATGATGCCTGTGAAAATTCAAAAGCTACAGGGAATCGTTTTGGCTTTTTTTTTTTACATAATAGAAATATAATTTAAAATTATTTACATTTAACAAGAAAAATAATGTCTTTCTCAGAGAAAAAAACATGAAGGTTGTGTATCTCTAAATTCATTGTGCAAAAATATTTAATTACTTTAGATAATTGCATCTGTGATAATTTTTAATTAAACAGCTACACATCTTCCATTGTATTAATGTCTGTTTTTTTTTTGTTTTTTCCTATTTCTTTATATATAACATTTTTCCATCTGGTGTCTCTCCTTACTCAACTGTCTGTGTTTTGCTCTCTCATTTTCTGTTTACATTGGCATCTGATTCTTTTTTAATTAAACATATTAGTTCCAAAATAGCATACTTTTTACTGTTTAGGGGAGTTAGTGAAAAGCAAAACTATTTTTATTAGAAATATTTAATCATGCTGGGCGCGGTGGCTCACGCCTGTAATCCCAGCACTTTGGGAGACCGAGGCGGGTGGATCGCGAGGTCAAGAGATCGAGACCATCCTGGTCAACATGGTGAAACCCCGTCTCTACTAAAAATACAAAAAATTAGCTGGGCATGGTGGCGCATGCCTGTAATCCCAGCTACTCAGGAGGCTGAGGCAGGAGAATTGCCTGAACCCAGGAGGCGGAGGTTGCGGTGAGCCGAGATCGCGCCCTTGCACTCCAGCCTGGGTAACAAGAGCGAAACTTCGTCTCAAAAAAAAAAAAAAAAAGAAATATTTAGTCATAAGAAACATTATTGGTGGATCAAAAGTAGATGTGATTTTTTTCATTTATGTATCTCTTATTCTTCACCTAAAAACATCATTCCATGAAAAGAAGTGTGGATTTGAATAATACACATACTTAAATCAGAAGGGACTTCCTTTTAAATTTATTTATATTTTATTATATATATTTTTATCAGCTCAATTTAAGATTCAGCACTTCCTTTTAAAAAATCTAATCATCAAATTGCCAGTAACACTGATTCTGAGAGCAGTTAGTGATATAAAACAGATTATTTTTACATGCGGTTTTGCCATTTGAAATACCATTATTTTTCTAGTCACTGTGTTTCACTTTTTATATTTTGTGTATTGCTTCACTTTTTATTTTTTCTTCAATTTCTTTTTAATTTTTGTGTTTGTCTGCATTTTCCTCATCAATTTCTAACCTCGTTACTTTCTTTGTGTCTCATATTTTTTATTTTTAAATTTTTCCTTTTATATTTATTGGTTTATTTTTGCTTTATTTCCTTTTTGATATAGGAAAAGAGAAGGTAAAGCAGTTCAGCTACAGAGGAAAGGGGAGGCATTTTATGCCACACATTTACTTGTGCAGCTTTCGTTATTAGTTTGGACTTTTAAAGATTTTTGGTACTTTGCGATCTTTGACCAACAAAAAATGTCAGCTTCTTATGGTTCAGGCTCATACATGTATCTCTGCTCTGTTTCTTTTCCCCTTTAATCCCTTACTTATTTGTTAACAAAAGCCATTTCCTGTCTCTTCTGTCTTACTGTTGTGTAGGTCACAGAGTTTAGGGATTCATAATTTCTGATGTCTTCATTGTTCTCTGATTTTGTTTGGCCCGAGAGTATTAGAACATGAAAACTAGTTTTCCATAACTCTGATCACTAGATGAGCTATGACACTCTGAAAGATTCATCAGACTAAAGACTGATGCTGTCTATTTCATGACAAAAGTTTTCAAGACAGGACATACACCATAGCTGCATGAACACATGGCTTTATTGGACTACTGGAAAAAATAACTTCATTCAAACAAAGGTTTTGTGTGTTTTTTCTCTAACTTTTTAAGTTTGTGTATGTTTTTGTCATGCCAAACAAATTAGTTACCTTTAAAGATAGGAATCAATATAATTTTGAGAAGTGTCTATTAGACATTGCCTTTTAAAAGCATACTGCTTCAGAATTGAATAAGGACTTTCTAATTATAGAAGTGCAGATTTATTATATGCATACTTACAGGTCTGGTTATCTGAATAATTTCAAAGACTAAACTGGAAAGCTGAGATACTAAAAAACACTCCACCTTCTGCTCTCTAAATGTATGGGGTTTTTTTCTTCTTTATCTGCAGTAGAAGGAGCGAAAAACTCAGAACAAGTCTTGAAATTTCTTCTGACACCCTAAATGCTAGTGAGAAACAGTCCTGAGAAGGAAGATGAAACAGGATCTCCTTTAAAAGCAAATCAGAAGAAAATCATAATGCCCACACTCGAGGGACTCAAATTCCTATGCAAAGACATGCTCCACAGCTTTTCTGAGACATTATATTGCATTGCACATGCACTGTAAGCCAGTTAGTTTAGTTTGTTACTATTTCAACATTTGCAAAGAAATAAAGAAAAACACAAGGTAAAATAAATGTTCCCTCCTCAAAAGGGCATACAAATTCTATTACTATAAAAGTTAATAAAATTGGCAGGATTGTAACAGATTTATAAAAGTAATAGAAATTACTAATTTATTTTTATGTCCTATGACTTATATAAATTGCAAAATGGTGTTTCTTAGGATGAATTTAAAGACATTTTCTTTTCTCTGGTTCATTTCAGTAGCCTCATGAATCCCAGGAAAAATGTAAGCACTGAAAAATTCTTTTAAAAGCGGGATGTGCTTTAATAAGGCTGACAGGTCCTACTTAGAGTACAGCTCTTTTGTTGTGAGGAGGGAGGTGATGCAATAATGCTTGAATCATTCATAAACATGTCTCTATTTGTTTATAACTCCCTGAATGCAAACCATGGGTTAGGTATCCATAACTAGGAAAAATAATAACAAATAACCTAAAACCCAGATAGCACTCTAAAAGTCACTAACAAAATCGAAGACTTGAACTTTCATATCTTCATGATTTAGGTTCAACCCATTTCCCACACTAAATATAGAATTATTTCGAATAAGAAAAAGACAGAACCATCCTGCTAAACTGCCTTTGTTAAAAATTTCAGATGAATTATGAAGAGGAAAAAAAGGCCCACTGCTAGGCCAACCTTGGCACCCCTGTTCTCCAAGGTTTCCAGTCTAAGATCTATAGATCTCTGGGAAAGAAAAGTAGCAAAAAAATCATTGATGATGAGTAAATGGTTCTAGTGGAGAAAATGCTGTAGCAAGTTGACTACTTATTATTGACTACCATAATAATGGAAAGATCTTTCACAAAAGGAAGTGAGCACCTAGGTAAACTCATTGCCACTCTCATTTAAAGAACTTCTTTAAAATTCTTCTAAACGTGAGCATCCCCACGAACAATGGTATTTTATTAGTGGGTGATTTTTCTTTTCCCCCAGTTTGCTTTTAGGGATGCCATGGAGTTTTTTCTGTGCTTTTAAACTTCATTGTTCCTATGACAGACAATATATACTACAAGCAGAATAGGACTTGACAGATATCAATATGCGATTAACTATGGCAATGTTAAAATCTCAGAAGTCCCTCTCACCTTAGAAATTTTCAACCTAGTAACTTGATACCAGGTAATGCTCAACCTGGTAACTTGTAAATACTTTACGTATTTACAAAATACGTAAAGTATTTTGATCACTCAGTGGCTACCACCCACAGGCCTTAGGATGGCACTTCTCACCTTGGTTTTATATTAGGGCCATTTGAAGAGCTTTTCAAAAAAATTCCTTATGTCCTAAACCCATTTCCAGAGATTGTGGGATGTAGTAGCTATGGGGTTGAGCCTGGCCATCCTGTGTTATGAACACAGCTAGTTTTTATATGTGGCCAGAGTTGAAAATCACTCTTATATGAAGAACTAGCGTGTTCCACAAATGAACCAAGTCGCAAAAACATCTTCATTATTCTTACTCCCGTAGGCTTTGTGACATTGCCTTATAATTATATAAGAAACAAAGAGATTGGAGAAATAGAATTATGTCTCAATGTGAGTATCTGTGGTTTTAATTAGCACAGTTCTGTCTTGGCCAGCTCTGAATGGTTCTCCACATTTTAGTGTATATAAGCATTCACTTTCTACTCTCATTCTGTAAATTATGATACCTCGTATTTTATAATTCAGATCCCAACCAAAACCCAAGGGAAAAAAAAAAAACTAGTATTTTTTCAATATGATCACTTTAAACGATCTTGTATAATTTTTCTGTTTCCCATAACCACATCATTTTGGTGAATTCATGATCTATTTGTTTTCTAGAATTATACTACCTGGCCTAAATCAAATATATGGCACCTACAAATACCATTCGGAGTGTGTGGAAGTTAGAAGAGGAAAGTGAGAATAATTAACTTTGAATTAGTTACGTTAGCGTAGCTTGCATGGACAGGCATATGGTTATGGTTTTCCCGCTACAATTTTGTGCATAAATCAGGAATTATTCTATGGTGCCCATTGTTTCAAGATGTAAGGGATATGGTACAGTTCAGGTATTCTAAACAAGGGTGAATATAGCCATTTCCCACCAAGAAGGAATATTGAGAATTGCCAATAGCACAGCTATTACCTCTCAATACTTAACAACTCCACATCCAGATTTAATATTAAATAATGGAAATGAGGGAAAAAACCTTATTATTTCATAAGAATAACATAATCCCCTAAAATGCTATAGCAGAAAATCTGATATTAGTTTACATAGTGAAACTAGTATCCAGCTAACCATAGATGCCCCCGAGTATTCTTCCAGTGATAATTATTCATGGCCCTGGCCTGAGGTTTTCCTTTAATATTTGTGTAGCACAGACATCTCAGGATCTTGAGAACAGTAGCATGTAATAATCTGAAAAGAGGGTGCAATTTTCTTCATCCTATTAAGAGGAAACATGTCCCTGAGAATTAAATAGAACACAATTTGTAAAGTTTGTTTTTAATTATGTGCTACTTAGACCCTTGGAATGAAATCCAAATTGCCGACATTTTTCAAATGATTTGGCTTTGTGCAATACAGTTGAGGGCCTGACGTTGGAATTGTATTTAGCACATTTATGTCACTATTTTAGTACTTTCAGTTTCTGTTCTGTCCTGCTTAGAAGTGGAATTAGTTAAGAAGGACTTGAGTAGGAGCAGAGAACCTCACTGTAAATAATTAATAGTTCTCCTATAAATGTATCTATAATAAAATTTCCAAAATCATCAAGCAGTTATTGTTAAGAATCATGTGGCCAGGCGTGGTGGCAGGCACCTGTAGTCCCAGCTACTTAGGAGGCTGAGGCAGAGAATTGCTTGAACCCGGGGGCTGAAGGTTGCAGTGAGCGGACACGGCACCCACTGCATTCCAGCCTGGGCAACAGAGTGAGAGTCCATCTCAAAAAAA